GGGTCCCGACCCGAAACGTCAACTTTCCTGCTCCTCTGATGCTGCCTGGCCTGCTGTGCTCCTCCAGCCCCACACTTATCTCTGACTCCAACATCGGCAGTTCTTACTATCTCCAAGATTCTCTTGAACTTGTTTTGATTTTAATTTCTGTAAACAAACAGGAGATTTGACAGTACCTTGCTCAAACAGGGGCAGTAGTTTATTGTTACTGCAGGTGTCTCCTAGGACTGCTCAGGACCTTCTTCACACCTGATCTTGATGAGAAACATATATCCCCATACTGCAAAAGTAAGCAAAAAGGCGAGCATAATCCCAGAGGCATCAGGAATGACCCTAAGATTCAGCAAATGTATCTAATTTGCACACTATGATTCGGGCTTGAATTTTGACTCTATCATTATTAGGTGGCAAACAATGTGTACAAAAGAAAAGGAAATCATATGTTCTTCAGAAGGTGTAATCTTTACATATGATTTTAATTTTTAAGAAAATTAGATAATTGATTTTTGTTCATTTAGTTAATTATGATTTGGTTGCGTGCATTTAAAATTCTAAATTTCAAACATAATGAGTCACATTTTCCTGGCAAGAGAGCAACATGTTAATGACACATGCTGTTATTAATGCAAAGGTTAGCCAGTGAGTTGGGGGTGAAGAAACGTTCCATGAGGTAAAAATCTCCAGGATGTGCTTGTTAGTTTATAGCTTTCCACTTAAATAAAAGCAAAGTACAGCATCTTCTGGAAATCTGAAATTAAATCAGAAAGATCCAAAGAAACTCTGCAAGTCTGGCAGCATCTCTGGAAAGTGAAATAGAGTCAACCTTTTTGGTTCTGTTCCAGTTGCGAATGATTTTGTCTGACAATAATGTGGTATATTTGATTAGATGGTGGAACAACTGTTTTACGTATATCACTGTGCGAAGAAACTACCTTCCTATTATGGACTGAACAATATCATTAGAGGTATAATCCTGCAAAGTTAATGTCCGTAGTAGGAAAGCTACTAAATTCTGTCTATAGGTGGAAAACATGTTTATGTGGCAACTATAGGTGGACAATACTAGAAAACATGTTTATGTATTTTCTGATCTGTAGCAGAAATAGGTAATCCAAACTGATCAGGCTAAGTTGCATCTAGTTATTAGTTTTCCAGATATTGACAAATAAGTTAGATCAGGGAATGTCTTTGGATGTTGTCTGTCAGGATTTCCAGAAGATATGTAATAAAATTCTGCACAATGAATTATTAGCAGAAGTGAGAGCATGTAAAGTTGGAGGTAGTCTTTTAATTGAGTTGGAAATTAGTTTGGAGGTAGTAGAAAGTAAAGGCTAGATATTCTGAAGATGGGATGTGACAAGTAGTGATCCACAAGGATCTCTTCTTGGGCCTGAACTTTTCATATTTATCAATGATGTGGATAAACGGGCTAGAGAATTGTGTGCCAAGAAAAAGGATCATAAAGTTAGAGTGAGAAGCAAAATCAGAAAGACTTTCATATAAGGTATAGTAGAAATTTACAACTTTTTTCAAAAGGCTGTGAATACTATGCCATTGCAGTTGTCAGAATTGTTGATGACTTAAACAAGTGTATGAAGCAATATAGAACAAAGACAGGAAATTGGAAATTGAAGTGCAGATCAGCAGATCTACTTCACTGACAGAGCAGAATTCTCTTCCTAATATTCCTATATTCCTGAAGTATCAGGACTCTGAAGAGTGCTTGGAAATAGTTATCAGTGCAATTTTGCAACCTTGATCAGCCTCCAATAAAAGAAAAGCACTCTTGCATTATCTTAAACCTAACATGATGTCCCAATTATATCATGTAGCCACTTTTGGTAGGAAACAGTTAATCAGCAACTATAGGTGGACAATACTAGAAAACATGTTTATGTATTTTCTGATCTGTAAAACAATAGGTGAGCTTGTAAGAAATTCAATTAAATATTTCCTATTATCTAAAGAACGGAAGTCTGATGTCTAATATACAGAAGAGAAAAGCACATGACCAACAAATCATAAGTTACATTTCCGATTTCTGTTGTTTAGTGTGACAATTGTTGTTGAGGCTTACTTCAGTTTATAGAATGATTGGCAAATTTAAAAGTAATGGTCTTTCTCTCTTATACAGGTTATTTTAGCGCAGTGTGTAACATACCTGTCAAGAGCACCAAAGTCGGTTGAGATTTACATGGCGTATGACGCTGTTAAAGAGTCCCTGAGGAACCACAAGGGTCCATTGCCTTCTGTTCCACTGCACCTTAGAAATGCACCTACAAAACTCATGAAGGATCTTGGCTATGGAAAAGATTGTAATAACTGTTCTTTGAACAAGCCAGACGATAAACCCTGTCCAAGTAAAGAATAACCCCTTTATTGCAATGGGCTTCTTTTCCCCCCCATGACAGTTGTATTTTCTTTGCCTGTCTAACAGCAGGAATTAACACTATAAAATAAATCTCATCAGTAGAAGAAACCAATGTACTACTTGCAAACTTGTTAATTCTATCATCACCTTCTGCTAATGTTATCTCAAGTATATTCATTCTAAAAACATACAAGTAAGAATAAAAACATAACTTGACTTTGGCTATTTATTCCATTCTGTGTGGGGCCGTCTGATGTTCCAGTAGTTAACAGTTGAAGATAGCTGAACTCCTGTCTAGTTTCCATATCAGTGAAGAAAGATGAACATTTCACTGCATTCGCAGGTGGACAAATAACCAGGTTTGTGCCAGATCTCTTTCTTGTGATTCATTGAACCATCGCTTGTTTTTTTTTTTGCCCAAAAATGCACAAAAGAAACAGAAATAAAGATGCAGTCTGCATTTCTCCTTGATGTTACCTAGATGGTCTCAGACCATTCTACATTCCTGTGTGTACATTGATTAATTTGAATAACAGTCACTATGATGTATGCAATCAGGATCATAAGGGCCTATCAACAGAAGTGATTATAGATCCCAAAAATGCTAATTAGTTTTGAATCCAGGCTAAATTTGATTTTAGTGAACACTAGTCTCTACAAACATTTAAATTCTGCATCAATGTACATAGTGAGAGTTCATGGTCAATGTAACAAAACAACTGATCTAGAGAATCTACAGAGTTGCTTTTGATAATGAAATCTCTTTTTGTATAATAGAGGTTGATTTCAGATTGAGGCTCCTTGTTACGGCAGAGTAAAGGTATTTCTGCTATGCATTTGCTCCTGTGCCGTGGTGGCCAATATAATTTCGGTCTCTAAAATGACAGTAATAACTTGGATACAGAATTGGCTGAGTGATGGGTAACGGGGTCAATGGATATTTTTCAGGCTGCAGGAAGGTTTGAGGTGGAGCTCCCCAGAGATTGGTTTTGAGACCTGTGCTTTTTCCGATTTTACATTAATCTGGATCTTGGTGTGCAGGGAACAGTTTCAAAGTTTGCAGGTGACACAAAACTTAGAAGAATTGTGAGGAAGACAGTGTGGAACACCAAAGGACATTTGCAAGTTGATGAAGTGGGCGTGTAGTTGGCAGATGCGGTTCAATGCAGAGAAGTGCGAGGTTGAAAGACAATACAAAATGCAGAGTCCCATTTTAAAGGGAGTACAAGAGCAAAGGAACCTGGGTGTATATGTGTTCAGATCATTTGAAGGAGGCAGGACAAGTGGAGAGAGCAGTTAGTAAAACATTTAGTATCATCAGCGTTATTAATACAGGCATAGAATACAAGAGCAAGAACGTGATGCTCAAGTTTTACAAGATACTTTGTTAGACCTCAGCTGGAATATTGTGCATAATTGTGGCCACATTAAGGGAAAAATGTGAATGGGTTGGAGAAAGTGCAGAGGCAGTATACACAAGAACAGTTCCAGGAATGTGAAGCTTTGGTTGTGAGGTTAGATTGAACAAGTTGGGACTATTCTCTTAGATTTCTTCTCCCCAAGGAGGAGATTTCATTGAGGTTTTCAAAGTCATGAGCTGGCCAAGTAGAGTAGACACGGATAAGTTGTTCCTGCTTGTAAAAGGAACTCGAACAAGAGGGCATAGATTTTAAAGTGATCTGCAAAAGAAGCAAGAGTGAAGTGAAAGAAATAGCTTTTTCACACAGCAAGTAGTTAGGGTATGGAATGCACAGCCTGGAAATGTGGAGACAGATTCAGTTGAGGCATTCGAGAAGACATTGGATGATTTTTTTGGATAGAAATAGCGTGCAAGGGTGTGGGGGAAAAAGCAGGAGATTGGCACTGGGTAATTATGCTTTTTTGAAAACCCAGTGCAGGCACCATTGATCAAATGGCCTCCTGCAGTATAATAATTCTGTAATTCACTGGTTATGCTATTCGCTGAAGTTAATACCTGCTGAGATGTAGTTTCACAGATATCAAGCAAACTTCAATTCCTAGTTCCTATGTTTACATCACAGTTACTCATTGGTGGGGACAGGTAGTGTGCAGCTCTGTTCTCAAATTACTTTAATACCAACAAATCACAACAGGTGTCACTGGGTCATGATAAATGGAAACAGTAACTTACCCTTGCCTTGCCCCTTCCTTGGCTTCATGGCAGAGCTTACACAGCACAGAGTGGGAACCTTATGTTCTGTAGAGTTCAGTTACACTTCAGATAAATTTTACTGAATCTTTGGTGGGAGAAGGTATTGGTTGGTGGAGACTTTTCACTTAATTTCAACTGATGTAGAGCCCAATCTATAGGTAAAATACAACATTCTTAACTGGTTTATTCAAAGAAAATCCTGGGTAAAAGTATCAGGCTTTCAGGCAGGTTTCAATAAAAATGTGAAATGGATGATTGCAAATCAGCAACCTGGTTTAAGCAGCGATTGATTTTCTCTCTTCCAGTTCCCATTTTGCACTAGTGCTGAAGATGAATTTCACACCCTTATGCTCTGCTGCATTTGACCTCAGCTGGGCCACCTGTTCAAGCAATCACTATTTTCTTCAGGACAAGAGTAGAAAAAGCATCCCATGTAAGTGTACTAGAGTAACCCCTTTGCAACTTAAACACAAGAGAAGGAAATGTTTGGCGCAGTACTGACCGCAGCGGTATTGCTAAAATGGAGAAGGGCAGGGAGATTGTGAGAGGTATTGAATGAAATGACAGATTTCTTTCTTTGTCTTTGCTCAGGAATGTGAAGCTTCAAGTGTGTTTGTCTACCCCCATCAGTTTGTGACTCTCACCTGGTTTAATGCCCATGAAACAACCAATTAGGGTCTGTTTGAACTCAGCACTCAGTTCAGATGAACCTACTGTCTTTGGCTGTACTGTGATTATGCCGAACCCTTGTAGACTAACATCTGTAGTTGGGAACCTCGGGAGGCCAGAATGAATCGTTACAATCAGCTTCAGACAGAAGTACCAGTAATGCTTAAACCTTTGTTGAAGTTCACCATGCTGAACTCTGCTGTCATTGAGGTTGAGGATGTTCATGGAAACTTTTCTTCACGTTTATTGCTTGTTTGTCACTTCTACAGATGCTGTCATGGATAATTACATCCACAAATGCTAGATTAGTGAAGTTTGTCTTCCCCTACTTAGCTCTTGTGCCATCTGTCACTAATCCAGTATGGAAGTTTCAAAGTATGACCAGCTCAGTCAATGGTAATACTGCAGTCTTGATGTGCTGTTGCTCCTGCACCAAGTGTGTATTCTGTACTTTTCATCTTAATGTTTCTTCTCCATGGTGTTCGACTTGGGGAAGGACTGAGCCATCAGCTGATTAAGGATCAGTAAATGATAATCTGCAAGTAGTTTATTTGTTCATGCTTGACTTCAAGCCATGAGACATTATAGGGTCCAGAGTCAATATTGTATACCAAATATATAGCACTGTATTGTGAACTCTGATGGGATACTACTTTCAGAGGAGACTGATTAAGTATAATTCAGTGAGTATGGCTATACCTGGCTGCTATTTGGATAGCCTGAGAGCCCAAATTTTGCCCTAACACCCATATGTCAGTGAAGGAGATTTGTCAAGGATTCAGTGAGCAGATTGTGCCTTCAGCATTGCTGCTGCTTGGTCTGTGGTTTTTTTGCAGCATTTCAATACAATTTATGGTAGTTAAGAGTCAACTATTTTGGTGTGGGACTGGGCTTGCATACAGGCCAAACTGAGTAAGGACAGCAGATTTCCTTCCTTTGAAGTACATTAATGAACCATGCTGTTCAAAAAGCAAATGAACAGCCTGCCCCTGAGCAACTGGACATTAGTAACCAAGATCAGTTTTGACCCCACACTGACATGTCCTGAAAACGTGCTACAAAGAAAGAATGTGTGAACTGAAAGCTTCGTTTCAGCATGTATGAGCAGTGGCAGATTTGACTTCCCAGTTGAATTGATATAAGGTTTGATTTGGCAATGTTCAAGGACAAATCAAGTATGCAGAATTGAAGGGACCAAGAATGATTGCGAATTTAATGCAGAGTGAGCACCCACACCAACTGTATGTCATCTACAACAATAGAGGTCAGTTTAGTTTTGGCAAGGAGATAACTTAGAATAAAAACCCTTCTATTGTGATAATACTTGATTCTGACTCCCATCCTTGACAGTAGAACAGGCTGCACCTCTTCAGCTGTGAAGGTTGAAGAAGTCAGCAATGCCAATGTGCTCCTGGTCATCATGGTTTGACAGATCTGACCACTATGCCATCTCAGTCGTGAGGACGATGTTGGTGGCTCAAGTATTCTACCTTGAACAAAGTACTTTGATTAATAAATAGAGCAAAACTTATTGCCCCCTCAATCAGGCTTGCAAGACAGAAGAAGCATTTTTAAATCTGGAGAAATTGAAAAATACAAAAACAAAGTTGCTGGAAAAGCTCAGCAGATCTGGCAGCATCTGTGAAGGAAAAAACAGAGTTAACTAGTTTTTTTTATTCCAGATTTTCTTCCAAATTGAATTTTCACTGTCTGCCCTTGATAGAATTTGAACCCATGTCCCTAGAATGTTAAATGAGGCTTCTGGATTGCTGGGCTAGAGATATTACCATTACACCACCACCCAGTATATTGTCTATTAAGGTTTCTGAATGGCCACATCAGAAGGTGATTCTGCACCATGTAGGCCCCTCGCTATAGCAGGAGTCCAGTAATTAGGAGGAGGTGCTTTGTAGCAGAAAGTGGGAGATGCACGAGAGCTGAAGGAGTTTTGGGGTTTCTAGCAGAAGTGTTTAATGCAGAGACAGCCTCCCCCTTGTAATGATGCTGTCTGCAATGGGCTTCTGCTACCGTTGCTGCTTGGCCTTCAGCTGGGCTCCCCCTGCTGGCACAGTCAGGGATACCAGTTTCCCTTACATTGCTCAAGGTTGCATTCGATCCTACTTGAACATTTAACTAAGGAGGCAGCCTGCTAGTTGGCCACCATCCTTAAAATTAAGCCAGCAAGGATACTGAGTGGATGAGTGATTATGAAAATAAGGAAAATTCAACCATAAACTGCTGAAAACAAATAGAAATAAACCATTTAACCCTTGCATAATTATGTTCACCAGTACTGGATAATTCTCTAGAATTAGAGAAACAGTTCTATGTTAAAGTGAAAGAAGTATCTTTATTAAATGTTCTGA